TTTTTTTTTTTTTTTTTTTTTTTTTTTTCCTTGTCCAGCAACGGAACGCAACCCCCAGTGTCGCCCCCTTACCAGACCGGGACCGGCAACGGGATCGCAGCCCTCGGTGTTGCCCCCACGCCTCGCTCAGCCAGTGAGCGGGAACCGGTCTGTATGTGGGATCCAAACCCTCAGCGGGAGCGCCGCCGCACTTCCCAAGCGGCGCACTATCCAGTGCGCCACCGGGCCGGCCCCCCAGCTGCCAATTTTAATATTAACGGGAAATGATGATCACTGTGATAGTCACTGATACCTGTTGAACTCTTTTTACATACCAGTGCCTGATATGCATCATGTCAGCCCTGTGAGGCAGGTACTGTCATTACTCCCATTTCACAGATGAGGTGACTGAGGCCCCGTGAGGTGAAGGGCCTGGCCCAGGGCTACACGGATGGGAAATGACAGGACCGGAATTGTAGGCCAGGCTTCGTGCTCTGTGCTGACCTGTGCCCATCAGTTGCCCTCTCTTGCCAGGCCCGGCTGGGCCCCCATCCCCATCTGGGATTCTGTGTCCAGACCTCCAGCCCGTGGCAGGGGGAGGGTAGCAGGGGGGCTCTGAGGCCCTCTGGCCCAGCCTTCTTGTGGGCTGATGGGGAAGCAGAGCCCACCCCTGCCTGAAGACAGACGACACGAACGCAGACCAGGATGGGCCTGCATCCCCACGCCTCCTGCTGTGGAGGACCACTCTCTCATGGCTAAGCCCTGTCCCCGCCAGCAGAAGCTGACATTCGTGGCTGGAGTCACTAAGAGGCCTTCCCCATTGAACCTCCAGCTCTGGACAGCTGGGTTTCCACGCCTTTTCTGGGTAACTGGCCGCTGGTTCCCTCTGTGCCACCTGCTCTGCCTGGCAGGAGGCCAGCCCTCCTCAACAAGCTGCGCCCCACCCCAAACAGTAAGATTGTGAAACGGGGAGTGGAGAGGCCATCAAGAGAAGGAAAGGGCAGGGGAGGCAGAGGAAGCAGCAGCTCCCCTCCCAGCACACGGCCAGCAGCTCCCCTGGAGAAAGCCGTGGAGGCAAGCGGTCAGGGCTCCAGTCTGGCCGTTCCAATACCTGGCTGTGTGACTTTGAACAAGCCAGGTGCCCTCTCTGGGCTGCAGGTTCCTCTTTTGTGCAAGAGCAGACCCTTCCTGACTGTCGCAGCTATCTGTAAGTGTGCAGAAGTGTTTTGCCTCTAGATGACTTGCAGATATTTTCCTCCCTGCTCCACCTCTTCCTGGATCTGTGGCTTCCTCTGGGTACCACCACACCCAGCCCTGCTTTTGGTGCTAGCCTTCTGTCCTGAGGTCAAAGCGACCCAGCTGGGGGGACCATGACTCACTCTCGGTTCCCCACAAGAACCCGGGTGAGTGGCAAGCCTGGACCTCAGGGACACCCTGGGCACAGGACCTCTTTCCTGGACACCATTTGGTGCTGGGTCATCCTCAGGCCCCACAGGGATCTTAGGGGCCTGAGAAGCCCTCTCCCCTCCCAGAATTAAGGCCTTTTGCACACCCATCCTTACTTGAGATTTGCTCCTCTAGCTTGTCAAGGGTTTCCCAGGACACTCAGCTAGCAAGGGTGCCGGGTGAGGAAGGAGGCGGCCAGGATGATGGAAGCTCAGCTGGGGCAGTCTGGACCCCCTCCGTCCCGCTGCAGTCACAGCGAGGCTGCAGCAGCCTCCATGGGCAGCCACCACAGGCACGTGTAGAAGAGCTCTTCCCGCCCCACGAGGGGCTGGGTCCAAGTGATGAAGGCACCACAGACCAGAAGGTGCCACCAGCATTATTCTACAGCCTGAGGTGCTGAGAGCCTACTGTGTGCAGCCACCACGGAGCCCACCACTCTGTCCTGCCAATCACCTGCAGGCAGTTTGCTTGTCCCAACTCACAGCGGAGGAAAAAACACTCACAGAGGTCTCCAGCCTCATGGCCCCAGCACCCTCTCCTCATCGGCAATGGCCTCTTAGGGGACACAGGGAGGCCAGGACAAAGGAGAGAAGCTTTTGTTAAACTGAGGGGGGATCCAAAGGGGATTCGGTGAGCAGGTACCTGATGTCCTGCCTTGGAGGGCTTTCCTGGCCCCAGCATCTCCTGCTTATCCGAGGAGCTCCCCACCTTTGGCCACTCCCCCTTGCTGCCCTCCTGCATATCCACAGGGTGACAGAGCTAGGATGTCACTGAGCCCTTGTCCCATCAGCCAGGTTCACTCTGGGCAGAACACCCCAACCTCGGTGCTCTGATTCTGCTGGGTCAGGAGGGCACGAGGCGGCTCCCAGATTGGATTTCCAAAGCTTCCTCACCACAACGCACAGTATGTGTCTGCAGCTCAGCCCCAGCCAGCTGCCACCCAAGGCCTGAGTCCAAGCAGGACGCTGGGCCCAGTCACTGAGGGCTGCTCCCTTGGAGGGTGAGCAGGCAGGAAGGGGAGCCTACAGGAGGCATGCCACGACATCCCTGCACCAGGCGTCTGCTCAGTCAATGAGCCTGTGCAGAACAAGCCCCTCTGCGTGCTGGGGGGCCTGGGCTTGGGGCAGATATGCCCTAGCCCTAAGAGGCTTAAGGCAGCCACCAAGTATTCAGGCACATGAGTTTGCATTGAGCTGTGCTAAGTGCTGCAGAGGAGTGGGGCCCAGTCTGGGGAAGAGGAGGCTTCCCTGAGAAAGTGGTGTCTTCCCTGACATCACAAAAAGCCAGGCAAGGCCTTCGGACACTCACCCCAGATGCTCACACAGTAGGAGAATGTCTTATTTTGCTGGGGTGGCCATAACAAAATACCACAAATTATGGGACTTAAACAGCAAGAATTTATTTCCCACGGTTCTGGAAGCAAGAAGTCCAAGATCAAGGCACCAGTAGCCTTGGTTCCTGGTAAGGACTCTTGTCCAGGCTTGCAGAAGGCCACCTTCTCACTGTGTCCTCACATGGCATGGCAGGGGGAGAGCACATGAGCAAGCTCTCTGGTGTCTCTTCTTATAATCCCATCCTGAAGCTTCTACCCTCAGACCTCATCTAAACCTAATCATCTCCCAAAGGCCCCACCTCCTAATGCCATCACACTGGCAGTTAGGGCTTCAACATATGAATTTGTAAGGGACACAATTCAGCTTGTTGCTGAAAAGAAAGAGGAGCACAGAGCATGCCAGTCTGTGGGGAGCACACGGGCAAAGGCCGGAGTCAGGATGTGCAGAAGACGCAGCAGGTGGGAGGCCTGCGCTCCAAGGGGCAGCCAGGGTCGGGGCTGGAGGAGTGGGCAGCAAGCACTGACGATGGGGAGCAGACAGGGTAACTTGTTACTCTCTCTACTCTCAGCTGTGTGTGCCAGAGAGAGAAACTGAGGGACCGTATGTCACAGAGAATACAGGCCAGAATTCCCATGCCTCTGTCCTGCCTCCTGCTTGGGTTATGTAGGAAGCCTGAGAAGCCTCTCCCCTCTTCTCCACCTTTCCCAGACCCATCCCACACCCTGCCACCTCCAGGAAGCCCCTGGGACTGCTCGGGCCACTCACATCTCACTCCTGATTACGTGCATTTATGCATTTTGAATTTAGCGAGCTTCCGCCTTAAGTTTCTATTTTGCTATCCTGCCTACTGAGCATGTAGAAATTTGTGTCCTCAGCACCAGGAAGAGCCAGAGTCAGGCAGAAAGTAAATGAGGGTTCAACTCAACTGAATTGCTCACCTCCCCCAAATCCAGGCAAGTCAGTAGAGCAGCTGCACTGGGGATATGGCACTCTGTTCCTGGAAGCTGGGGACACCAGGCAGGGGCAGCAAGTGCCTGTTGAATAAATGAATGACTGCACGGCCGGTCGACAGTGGAGGCTGCTATGGAGGGCACGCCCGGTCTCCCCACGGCTGAGGTGTGGTGGGAAGAGCATCAGGAGCGGGAGCCGACGTCTGTCCTGGTTCCACATGGCTGATCACCTCCCCCTGGGAGCTGCCCAGGGGATCTCCAGGCCCTCTAAGAGCACAGCATGAAGGGGCTGTGCAGAGTGAGGTGTGGCTGGCATGTGTGGGGTGACCTGTCCCCTGGTCTGCAGGATGGAGAACCTGTTCATCAACCGCTTCATGCACATGTTCCAGTCTTCCTGGAATGACTTTGCTGACTTCGAGAAAATCTTTGTCAAGATCAGCAATACTATTTCTGGTGAGTGTGCCTCTAGGGTCTCTGGCAGTGCTGGGGAGAGGGGATGCCATTTTTCTGTCCAAGACTTGCTGGGAAATTGGCAAGGGCTGCCCCATCCCCCTGCAGTGCAGGGACCTCGCCACCACATCACCCAGGCCCTGCACCTCATGCCTCTGCTTCACTGCGGTCACCCTCACGCCCAGACCTGTCCAAGACTTGCTGGGAAATTGGCAAGGGCTGCCCCATCCCCCTGCAGTGCAGGGACCTCGCCGCCACATCACCCAGGCCCTGCACCTCATGCCTCTGCTTCACTGCGGTCACCCTCACGCCCAGAGGTTGCTCCTCCTTGGACATTCAAGCTTGAGCACCCGCTACCTCATTTCATTGTTAAAAGTCTCAAAAACATCAGGAGTGAAGGCAGAATTTGTTTCCTAAGCATCTTCATAAAAGCAGCATTGGTTCCCTTTGGACTCAGATGTGTCTGGCTAGAGCGCTAGCATCCTGATGGCTGGTAACAGCATGGGAAAGACCAAGCAGCACCAGAAAGTTAGGGGGGCAGGCACAGCTTGTAAAGAGGTGTGGAAATCTGCTCGTGGGGACATGGCCTTGGCCAAATCCTCCCGGGATTCCCCTCCCCTCTGCTCCTGCTCTCGCCGTCCTGGACCCTCTGTGCTGGGCTGAAGGACATGAATTCTTGAGGGAGGGGTGCCAGCAGTGCTCTGAGCCACTGGAAGCCAGCTCAGGGAGGACCAGATGGCAAATGGCCTAGCCCAGTGACAGGCAGGGAACAGCAGTTGGGCACTGCGGGTGAAGCCAGTGGGTGCCTGCAGAGGGGAACCAGCGAGGACGCTGCCCTCTGTGCAGAGCTCAGGCTGGACCCTGCTTCTCTCCCTGTAGAGCGGGTCATGAATCACTGGCAGGAAGATCTCATGTTTGGCTACCAGTTCCTGAATGGCTGCAACCCCGTGCTGATCCAGCGCTGCACGGAACTGCCCGAGAAGCTCCCGGTGACCACGAAGATGGTGGAGTGCAGCCTGGAGCGGAAGCTCAGCCTGGAGCAGGAGGTTCAGGTAGGCCTGCCAGGCAGGGGAAGTGGCCAAGGCTGTCAGGCGGAAGCCACTTCCCACGGGCCAGTGCTCGCCACCCCCAGGCCGCTGTCTCCAGGCCCCGTATGACTGGCTGATGGCACGAGATTGACCACCTTGGCTGCAGCAGCTTCTTCCTGCTCCTGGCAGCCCCACGAGGAGGGTCCAGGGCATTAGGCAAACTGTCTTGTGCAATGTCGGAGGAAGACTTTCTCCATGATGCGCTTCCTGAGAACATAATATCAAAATTTTTAATACCAGTAATAATGACAAGAGCTACCCCTGTGGTGGGCCAGGCATTGCGATAGATGCTTTACACACACTGTCATCAAATTGTCACCCACCTTGTAAAGGTGAGGAAACTGGAGAAAAAAGCAGGCCTTGTAGAAGAACAAAAAAAGGTGGGGGAGGGAGGAAGAAGCCTGATGGAATTTTCAGCTTTCTAATTAGAAAAGCTGGTGCCATCTGACCCTGCCTCCCCATCTCCCCCTCTTCCAGTCCTTCCCCCAGCCCTCACAGGCAGGCCCAGTGCCCTCCAGTGCCAAGGCTGACCTGGTCTTGAGACAGAAAGGGTTCAGACTGCCTCCACCTGAATCTGGTGGGGCTTGGGGACAGGCACCTTCCACGGCAGGGACTGGAGGTCCCAGCAATAGCCCTTGGTCTCCCATCAGTCTGCCTCTTCCCACTGGAGCCAGCATGACTGGGCCTCCTGCCACCCAGCCCCTGCCACCTTCCCTCAGGTGTCCAGGTGGCCTCTGCTGCTTCCAGCCATCCCATCTTACATGCTCAGCCTGCCTTGGGGCCCAAGCCAGAGACGGGTGGTCAGTGCCCTCTGGGGGTAGATCCCCCAACTCCTAACCCCTTCCACCCTGACTCTAGAGGGCCACCCACCCAGCCCAAGTCCCCAACAAGGCCCCTGCCCCAGTGCAGGCAGTCCCGGCCCCCTTGTCTTGGACCTGCCCAAGTAGGACACTACCTGGCCACGTGCACAACTACAGTAACAACATCCCACACATTCATGCATACACATGCACACACATGCACACATATACACACACGCAAACAGAGCATATTCGTCTGTAGACTTAATTGCTAGTCATAGTAACATTGACTTGGTGCCTATAGGTTTCAAACTTCAACCAGAGAACCATAGAACCTTAAAAGCCGAAGAATCCTAGAATTGGAAGGGACCAAGCAGCCATCCGTGCATCCAGCCAACCAAGGCCCCCAGGCAGGCGACAGCCTCCCACTGAGGAGTCCTTGCCACCTCCAGGGCAGATGGGTTTGGGGTCATCCCCCTCCTGGTGTGGACACTCAGCTGTGGTTTTGGTCACGAAGCAATAATCTATAGCCCACTGACTAGGCTCTTACACACACACACCCCCATCTCTTACACGCAACTACTTCTCTCCCACGGTTGCTTGCACTACCTTTCTGTGTCAGCATCTTAGTGATCTGGGGTAAGCTTGTGGCCTACTAAAATTCCTTAACTGTTGTTTTAAACCTTTACCTGTGCGATTATGTTTTGGAACACGAACAGAGAAATTCTATCCCTGTTGTTGGTTTTGATTCATTGTTACAGCTTAAAGTTATTTTAGTTTTTAGACTTTATATTAGGATTCTTGGGTTTTAAGTCACAAAAATCAACTCAATCTGGCTTAATCCAAGAAATGTA